GTTACGCGGCATTAAGTTGAGGCCATTTTGCAGGTGCTGCACAGAAATGCCCACTTCCGGGAAGACGTTGCCAAAGAAGCGTCCGTGGAAACAGCTTGTGGCATGAGAGGCAGAATCCGTGCGCCATGAACGGGCGGCTCAGATGGCTGGGTAGAGTGAGCTCTGGCATTTAATGGCCACTAAAATCTTAGATTCCTAAACCCTAAACCCTTAAACCCTAAGCCCTAAACCCTAAACCCAAGATTTTCTTTGCGAAGCTTTAGGACCGGGGTCGAGGAGTGATAGGATCTCAAGACTGCGATGTACCAAAAACGTAAACCCTAAACCCTAAAACCTAAACCCTAATCCTTAAACCCTGAGCCAAAAACCCTAAGCCCTAAACCCTGCGCTAGTCCCTGAACCCTGAGCCCTGAACCCTGCACCCTATAACCCGAACCCTAATCCCTAAACCCAGAACCCCTCAACCCTGAAACCTGAACTAGTCCCTAACCCCCAAACCCTGAGCCCTGAACCCTGAACCCTAAACCTTCAACCCTCAGCCTTGAGCCCTAAACCCCCTAAACCCTAAACCCCTAAACCCTAAACCCTAAAACCTAAACCCTAAACCCTAAACCCTAAACTGAGCCCTAAACCCGAAATCCAAACCAACTCTGCGACTCGTTGTTCGGGTTGGAGGATCATGGGACTTAGTCAGCTAAAGGCTTCCTTAAAGGGATCCTTAAAGGGATCCTTAAAGGGATCCTTAAATTTAGGGTTTAGGGTTTAGGGTTTAGGGTTTAGGGTTTAGGGTTTAGGGTTTAGGGTTTAGGGAATTAAAGGGATCCTTAAACGGATCTATAAGGATTCTATAATCTGCCGTGTATGGGACTTAGGAGTAGGTATAGCTATAAGTACTTTAATGGGGTAGTAAGTCCTAAAGTAAAGTTATCCCTAAACCCTAAGCCGAATAACCGTAGTTACTAAGTCTCATAAGGAGAAGGGTTAGGGTTTGCCTGGGTGCTAAAGGAAGAGTGGGTTTAGGGTTTAGGGTTTAGGGCACTTGTATAAGGAAATCACAACCAAGAACTCTAAACCGGATAGGTTATTTAGGATTAAGGTAGGGTTTAGGTCTTGCGATAATCTCCGTAGCCTAGCTCTTAGTAGGGAATTGGGGAAATGGGGTTTGGGATTACTATAAAGGCACTATCAACAGGGATGCACTGAACCATTCTCTTGTAAAAACCAAGGATTATGGGGAGTATTCCAGAAGTAGCCATACAAATCCTTCGCCCAAGGTGCTCTAAACCCGAAAGCCCTACCTAAACCCTAAACCCAAAACCCAAACCCAGAGCCCTAGGCCCTAGACCCTAAGTCACAAAACCCTATAAACCCTAAGCCCTGAGGCCCTACGCCCTGAACCCTAAACCTGAACCAGGATCAAATCCTCCTTGACCACAATCTCCAACCTGACCGCAACGCTTTAAGCTGCCCTGAAGAGCGACAAGGAAGACCCCCTCACTTCAACCGTTAGGGTTTAGGGTTTAGGGTTACCCTACCGCTAGCCGAAAAGACCTACCACTTTAGCGTTTCTTATCATGGCTTCTAGAGGTAGTTCCTTAAAAAAGGTAGGTCGTTTCGGCTGTAGGTACACCCCAAAAGAGCAAGCTGAGGCTTTCGGGGTCGGGGTTTCAGGTTGAGAGTTTAGGGCTGATGATTTCGGCCCCTGAACCCTAAACCCTGACCCCTAAACCCTAAACACACTGACACTTCAACCGTACCCCGACACTCTAAAACCAGGATTAAGCTTTCAGGTTTAGGTTTTAGGCTTTCAGCTTGAGGGTTTAGGGTCTAGGGTTTGGGGCTTGTGGTTTAGGGTTTGAGGTGTCGGGATTCGGAATAAAGTCCCATGATGCCCTGTCCGACTGATGCCACAGATCTCCTCTAAACCCTAAACCCTGAACCCTGAACCCCAATGAAGTTGCGTCAAAGATCTCACTCTGGCCAAGTTGTTGGAGGTCTCCACCAGCCCGGGCACCTCTTCCGAGAACCTGACAAGTCCGTAAAAGAGGGTTTTTTTTTTTAAAGTGCAAAGGCCTTTTCGTGCGAACAAGCCTGCCTCAATAGAGGCCTACACTCCAGAACGGCCAAAATGGCCAAAACAAAGAAAACTACCACCTTTCACAGCAGGCACTCAGTCAACCTCTTCCGCCTCGCTGGCGTCTTGATCACCTTCACCAACAGGACGATCCCGACCACGATGATCACGACTACGACTCCGCTCCAGGCGAGCAACCCCCTCCGAACGAACAACACCCGTCACCGGCGCAACGACAGCCGCAATCACCGCCTCCGTCGCACTCATCGCCTCCGTCACACGTCGGCTTACTTCGACACGATCATATCCACGGACAGCACGTTCACGAAGTTGGCGACGTCTAGAAGCAACACCGCGCTGAGCTCGTTCACGCGTAGGGTCCTCAGGGTAACCTTCTCCACGGGGGTAGTTTACCACGACAACACCTTCATGCATCTGCACCATGTACAGGTCCACGTCTTGCTCAGACGGCCAGGGCCCAAGCGGCACTTCTCGACCGACTCCACGATACAGACTAGCCACATGTGCCCTCCACGCTCGCCGCCTGTATCCCGCCACAGTGTGAGGTTCAACTTCAGGTAGAGCACGCTCAAGCTCCTCCACGTAAAAGAGGGTTTAGGGTTTAGGGTTTAGGCTTTAGGGCTTAGGGTTTATGAGTAGTTCTCTAAATTCGGGTCCCTTTTAGGGTCCTTTTTATAAGGGTGCTGTACTATATTGGGGACCTAAAAAGGGAGCCTAATCTAGAGAACTACCCATATAGGGTTTAGGCTTTCGGCTTTAGGCTTTGGG